GAGAATAGGGACGTATAGAGAGCTAAAAAAAGGTTTAGGAGTGTTTTGGGAGTGAGAAGAAATTTTTTGAGAATTTTTGGAGATTTTTTTTCCGGGAATTTCTGGAAAATTCCATATTCCGGTGAATTTTCCGACGAAATTTGAATTTTTCGACGAAAATTTCGGCCAACCTTGAAGTTTTCGGTGATCTGCCCAGATTTCGGCGAAGAATCCCAAAACCGGTAATCTTTCGACCAACTTCCGACGAACATCCGACGAAATTTCCAGATTCCGGTGACATTTACCAGAATCCGACGAAAATTTCACCGGTGTTCTTCAGCTTTTAGAGAGAAGGGAAAGAAAAAAAAAAGAGAAAGAGAGAGGGGAAGAGCGTTCTGTCGAAAAACAAATGGAAGTACCTTTTATACCCTTTCAAAACGACGTCGTTTTGGCCTTAAGTAACCCAGAGGATCCGCGCGTTTTATCGAGATTCGACCCGACCCGAGCATCGACTCGCTTTCTGACCCGCAAGTGTTTGCCCCTCTCCAAGCCGAGCCGAGTCGAGCCAAGTTCCAAGCCGTTCCCCCCGAGCCGTTTTCCCTTTCTTAAGCCGAGCCGAGCCGATAGTCGAGCCGCTCCAGGTTTTTTATTTTATTTTATTTATTTATTTATTTATTAGATTAGATTTATTTAATATTTTTTATCTTAATTTTATTTTTATTTTTGTTTTACTTTTCTTTATTTTTTTAATTTTCTTTATTTTTTTATTATTCTATTTTCTTTAAATAAAAATCGAAATTTCCAAAAAAATATTTTAGGGAAAAGTTGAAAGTATCAATTTTTCCCACACAAGAACAATCATTCTCTCCTTCCTTTTTATTTTGATTTCGATTTCGATTTTTCTTTAAATAATCCGACGACGGAGCCTCTGCAAGTGAAACAGTAGTTTTTCTTGCATAATCTTGAGGTGAGGGAATTTTCTCAATTTCTGCTAAAAGTATTAGAGTCAATTGAGAAAAATTTCCAACAATTAACTGCTTGGTAAAATTTTAAGGCTTTTTGGATAACACAAATTTAAGCTGGTACCATCTTTTGATGGGCGTTGTGAGGGTGTTATAACCTTCCTCACACGTAACCGAACTCCCGAACCCTGTTCTGGTTTGTAGACCTGAACCTATTCTTTTAGGGACCCTTAAACTTAGGTGTTCCCTGAAAGGACAGATTCTTTAGGTGGCCAATCGCACCTAGATAAAAAAGATTGGTGGCGACTCCTTAAAGTCAATGTCTAGCGATAAATCCCCAGATCTAGACGTTATGACAATTAAATATATGAAAATTCCTCAATAGTTTGATAAAATTCATGAATTTATTTTGTAGGGATTTTTTATTTGAAAAAGATTTTCTACTTCTTTTTTTTTTTGAAAACTTATTTGAAAAGATTGTTTTCTTTTTCTTTTTTTTTTTAACTTATTTGAAAAGATCTTTTTCTATATAACTATTTTTTTTAAAAAGAAATAATTTTTACAAAATAATAAAATTTCTCAAAAATAAAACCAAAAAAATAAAATAAAATGAGCTAAAAAATAAAATAAAATAAAAAAATAAAAAAAATAAAATGGAAAAAGAAAATCTTGCGATCGGGTTAGGTTAACGCGCGGGTCAGAGTGCAAGTCAGTGGGTCAGAGCATAGATCTAGGTGCTCCCAAAACATTGTCATTTTGGGACGTTATATAAGCTACTTTTTAGCGTTTTGCATCATAAGCACCTTGCTCTCCCTCTCTCTAGATCAATAAGCTCTAACTTCTCTCTAAAAATTCTTCAAGAACACGTCAAAAACTTCAACCGAAAACTGACAAACCCATCGGCTTCTGAGAAAGTCATTGAAAAATTCAATCGAAAATTGAAAAACCTACTGGTTTTTGAAAAACCCACTAGTTTTTGAAAAATTGGCCGAAATTTGGCTGAAAATTTCAATCGGTTGTTGAAAAATTCATCGAAAAATTCATATTTTTCCCAAAACCCCAGATTTTTTTAGAAAATCCTAGAGATTTCCCAGGTTCTCCCAGATTTGTCCAGATCTCATCAGAAAATCCTCCAATAACTTAAACCGTACCCTAAAAACCTAGAATTAAACTCAAAAACTTCCAAACGAACCTAAAATAAAAAATCACAATCCTAGAACTTTTATTCTGCCCAGAACATGTTTCCTAGAACTGCAACACCCAAAATTTTTCAAATTTTCCACCGTGTCTCCCCAGCACATTCCTTTTGTTCTTTTGTAGTGTTAGTTTGATTTATAAGCATCCTTAGAAAAAATTTAGGAAACAGACAGAATTAATCTAGGCTTGAATCTTGGGATTTGATACTGTTCGAATCTCAATACATGTCTAGGTTCATTGCTGATTTCTTGGATTGATTGAAAAATCCCTTTGATTATGAATTAAAACCTTTTGACTGCATTGAATTTCTGAATTTCAGTTTCCTGGATTACTGGTCAAAGAGAAAGGAAAAGGAATAATAATAATAATAATAATAATAATAATAACATACTATATCATATAATATATTAATATACTATACTATAATATAATATCAAATAATATAAATACACAAACTAAAACAAATCGACCCTAACTGACCTCGGGGACACATATGGATGTCTACAAAGAGTATGGCAGCTCAAGGAATTCAGCTTCAATTAAAAAAAAGGATAAAAATTAGAAACATATGGCAATTAATAATAGTTTAATCATGAAGAATTGATTTTAACTTATTAAAATCTTCAATACCTATAAAGTCTGGAAGAGTTCTTCCATTAGTGAACGTACCGGTCAAGTTGGAAGAAGATTGTTGTTGCCACTGTCAAACAATGAATCTCCGAACACATACAGAGCCGGTACAAGAGGCTTACTGTGAATTAGCAAGAAGATATGAAGGAAAGCAACTAAGAATACGTTCGACGAAATCAAGTTGCTCCTCATCTTTCCAAATGCAAATATTATTTGTGTAAGAAAAAGTTAGAAGAGTGGAACATCAAAGGCCAATTGAGCTTGAAAAGAGTGGAAAAAAAATTTTGATTATCAGTCGCAATGATGCATAGTTTTTTTCCCCTTAATGCATAGATTGTGGTTTAATCTTTTGACCTGAAATCAAATCAAGCCAGCCAGCATTTTCTTCTTCAGCGGAGAAAATATTTTTAATGACCAAGTATGCCAAGAATAGGACACAACTGAAATGAAAGTACAACCAACACCATACAGAATTTCATGAGTATCACATGAATTTTTTTATTTTTATGAGATTTAATAATTAATTTGAAATTGTTTCATTCGAATTTTGTTTCTGTTTTCACTTCTATAATTATCTGCATCATTAATTATTGCATTCAAAAGGAAAAAAAAAATCACAACAGAAACTTATTTTAAATTACTGACGAAATCAAATCGGATTATCAATCATATTTGACTCTTCATAATAATTAATTATTCATCAAGATATATCATTTCGTGTTCAAGGATGAGATTAAACCTCTTTCCAAGTAACAACAACTTGAGTATTTTAACTGATTCATTTTAAGCATTATAATACATATAATATCTAATTTGCATAGGCATCACTTAAGTAAAAAAAAAAAAACCTTGCATTAGTTGGCAAACGAGTTGGCCATGAACGTGCTGAAAATGAGATGAGAACCCTACTATCTTCCACGTAAAAATCATGATTAAGAAGGGTAAATCATAAATGTTTCATTTTATTACTTTTGTTTTCACATAAATAATTATTGATGTTAACATGCATGTGATGTGATTCGATGAGATATTCTTACTAAATGTTGCATGATTTCTTTTCCAAATTAAAATTGATAATCCTGTGATCGAATTATTGTAAACTTGTATACGTCTTCAAATATTAATTAACTAGCGGCTTTAAATTAAGAGGAAAGCAAACTGTACTGTCATTGATGCAATGACTTGCTATTGCTGAATAGAGTGTTTCGTTAAGATGACAAGCATAAGGGTTGGAGTAAAAAATGGTACGTCGCTTTCATATATTTTTTTATTATATTATTATACTATATTTAAAATTATCAAATTATTATTAAAAATTATTTAATCTATATATATATATATATCATGGATAGAAAAGAGTTAGATAAAATTTTTTAGATGCAATTTTTTATTAAAAATAATTAAATAAAAATCAGAATTAAAACTCAAAATCGATAAAATAAAAATTTTTGTCATATAGATCAAATAAATACATTTTTAAAAAAATTAATAAATTATGATATATTTTTTAAATAAGTATTTTTAGTGAAAAATTTGACATTAATTTCATCATTAAATAAATATTAATCAAATTCAAATTATAAATAATATTTTCATTATTTTTTACATATTATTAATTTTTTATTGAATTTTATCAATTTATTGTTTTAAAATATTTATTATAATTTTATTAAATTATTTTTAATAAAAATTTCTACCAACTGTATTTAAAATATTTTATTTAAATATTACTCTCGTGGATATGGCAATTGTACATATTTTTCCCTTTGCATGTGCCGATTACAAAGGATAAAGTATAAATGTTTTCTTTTATTACTTTTGTTTTCACATAAATAATTATTGATGTTAACATTCTTGTGACGTGATTAGATGAGATATTGTTTTTAAATGTTGCATGATTTCTTTCACTGCAAGTACTGGCCATGATTTTGATAATTTTGATAGTCAACAAAAAATTTATTTTGCTGCTATCTTTGGACGGTAAGTGATTGAAGTAAGTAAGAAAAATGTCTAGGGCTAGCAATGGAAATCAAAAGTTCAAAGCAGTGTAGATATGTAGGGTGGCATGCACCTAGGTTTGTCAAAAGTCATTACTCATTATTCGGATTAATGTCAATTATAGGTCTACTGCCAGTGGAACATACTGCATCTTCCTTCAGTAGTGCATTTGTTGTGAGATCCATATATACTGCATCTTCCCTTCCCCTCTCCTCTTCACTTCAAAATTCTTAAAATCTGTAGCGATTGTCCCGTCTTTCTTTCTCACACAACAGTTTGAAACTTTTAGCACCTCAATGGCTTTCATTTTTGCTAGTTGTCTTGGTTTGCTTAGTCTGTTTTTTCAGTGCTTCTATGTCATTCATATTTATTCTGAATCTTATTTACCACCTGATTTCAATAATAATCAAACTGCCTTCCTCCAATATCTAGCTTCCGAAAATTTGTCTCTTCGATTGCCAGCTCTATATGTTTTTGGGGACTCGTATATAGATGCTGGTAATAACAATTTTCTTGACACAATAGCCAAAGCCAATTTCTTACCATATGGTATTGATTTTGGAGGAGTGCCAACCGGTCGTGCCACCAACGGGAGAACCGTTGTGGATTTTATTGGTACAGGGATTGTGATTTTTTTGTATTCCATGCTACTTGTTGCTTACTTTATATTGGCAAAAATATGATTTTTGGTTCATGTTGTATTTCTTGTAAGTTTGCTTTTCTCTGATTTCTGATATTCACTTTTAATGATGAAGCTCAAGTTGCTGGCCTGCCATTTCCACCCCCAATGCTCGGATTGTCTGAAACCCAGAGGAAAATCTTTGTTAGTGGTGTAAATTATGGCTCTGGTTCTAGCGGGATACTGCCTCTGCCTCCTCCTGCTGTGGAAATATTTGTGAGTTATCTTAGCCACAAAAATAATTTGCAATTTTTCTTGCTTCAAGTTATTTTTCCTAATCACTATGTGAAATTTAGAGTACCAAAACTTAAACTTCTGAGTACAATTGACCTTTTGTATATAATACTACACCAGGGACATATTTTGAGCTTCGATGAACAAATAGAGTTGTTGAACGACACAACAAGAAGCTTGAAGGGTCATTTTGACAGCCCTGAAAGCTTTTCTCTCTACCTGTCTAAGTCATTGTTCTTTATCCACATAGGGACCAATGACTTAGGCATATATTGGGATCTTGAACAAAAGCGAAAGTTCCCGAACTGCAGAAGATTATGCACCCTTCTTATCGGAGCGAGTTGTCCGGTAGATTGGAGGTAAAATGACTGTTTTAATTTAATCTTTACAAGTATTGGAAATTGTATATTCAATTTTCTACATTTTTAATGATCATGATGCAGGCAATATACAACTGGAGAAAGGCTATTCCTGGTTCAATTTGTTTCTCCATTAGGCTGCCAACTTTCAACTCTGAACACAAAAATGGCACAATACTTCTGTGTTGAAGATGTTAACCAGAATAGCTTTCTACAATGAACTCCTTCCAACTTGTTGACACAGTTGGAAACATCCTTGAAGGGTTCCATTTGTGCTGTGTGATCTATTAAAGTGTTTGAAGATAGTTTAACACACAACCAGCAGCATAATGGGTGAGAATTGTTAGGAAAAGAATACCAACCAAAATTTTCTCTTAGTTTAATAAAATATTATGAACATTTAGTTCATTTGTTTTTGTTAATGCAGGGTTTACGAATGTCAATGGTTCTTGTTGCATTGACGAAGCGAGGAATGGAACTAGAGGATGCGCCAGAAATGTTGCTCCTTGCGCTGACAGAACGAGCCATGTCTTCTTTGACCCATTCCATCCGACCGAGAGTTTTCATTTCATTTGGATGAGGCGCTTTTTGAAGGACCACTCTGTCTGTTCTCCATTTACCTTGTTTGAGTTAATGCAACTTTAAGGATCTTCTCTAGGAGTACTGTTTATTTACTTTCAGTTAATTTCGAATGATTTAATTTTAAGAATGTAGTGAAACAATGTTGTTGGAAGTTGTGTTTTAAAGCTTATCAGATCACACTCTCATTACTCATTGTCTTTTAAGTGGTTCAAGTCATTTCACATTGTTGCAAATATGATGCTTTATTCCCTTTTTATGCTTAGCTTGATGCGAACAAATCATAGATACCATCAATCAGTTACTTTTGAAGCAGCCCCTGCTCAAAAACAGACCCAGCTGCTAATAAATATTCTAATTTGATTCTTAGTCTTCTCTTTGGCATAACTAGATTTTAGGCAATTTGCTAATTTTTTTTTCAATAATTAAAATTCTTTTATCAGAAAAAAAAAAAAAAGCAGGGAAAACTTGCTACAAAGAGCAATGGAGTTGTACCATGACAGGTTACAAAACCAAAAGAAAAAAGACAACTGCATCATCTGAACAAACCAATTAGCTATCTACTCTTCAATCTGAAAACCAAATGACTGGTTTGACACTTTAAAGTCTTCATACCCCACTGAAATTCTTCACCCAATCCCCAGCCTGTCTTGTCAACAAGGAGACTTGCAACACTTTTTAATAAAAAATTAAAAGTAAACACTTTTTACGCTTTTTATGCTTTCTCGGACTGAACTTCTCAACAATGGATATTTTAATAAAAATTAAGGTAAAGCAATTAATGTATACTGATCTGGTTCATGAATAACATAACTAAGCGGTCTTTTATGTTATTATCAATGGACAGCCAAGAAAGACAACATGCAATTCTTCTTATTGAATTAAGCATTTCTTTCTCTTTAAAGGAAAAAAGGAAAAAAAAAATTGAAGGGCCAAGTCTTACTATGAAATTTATTCTGTTATGTTGGCATTAAGAAAGCATAAGGACACCTGGTCAGATTTAAGATTGTATTAGCTGAATCAAGTTGATGGGAGAAGAAACTGATGAATCCTTTAAGAGACGCCTTGCCCATATGAAATGCATACTCTCGCTTGGGTGCATTGGGTGAAGAAAAATGGCTACTTCTGTCTTTGCATGGTGCTACATTTGCAAGACATGGTTTAGTTAAACCTTTTCTATTTCAGTACAACAACTGCTCTTTACATCGGCTAAATCCTGCAGAAAGAAAAAGAAAAATATATCTTTTAACTCTCAAAATGTTAAAGGCAAAAGATTACCTAAGGTTTGATACCCAAACACCAAATTTGATGGAACATTTAATCTACTTACAATTAAGTCAAATCTATTATTCAATTCCAAATTGTCAATTTGGGCGCTAATAATTGAATAACTCACCATTACAGGTAGGCGTATGCATAGACTCTTGAAAAATTTTATATAGATCTCCAAGAACAAATTTTGATCCCGAAAGGGTGGATTGCAAGTCTTTTAATAAATTAGTCAGGCGTTTGTTAAATAACAATGCCCGGTTGTTGGCTAAGTAGTCGCATTCTGGTCCATTCCTACCTCCACTTATTAGATGCGGCTGACATCCTATTGGAGATGCATTATTCACCACAATTTTACGTGCACCAAGCTGATATAATCTCTATATATGTGTAAAAAACAAAAACAAAAACAACAAATTTGGTGTTAAATGGTTGCCACTAATTGCCAAATATAAAAAGAAAAAGGAAAAAAAATCCATCTCTATAATTAGGTCAAGGCAACCATCTAATTAATTTGAGGTTACATCTGATAATTCATGCATCTGTGTCATATATGTTTCATGTTAAGCACGTACAAAATATAAAAATTGTTGTGTTACAATTTCTGTGAATATTTTAAATATAAGATATATTTTTTAATTTTTATCAAATTTATATATTTTTTTAATTTTAAACTGTATTGGCTTTTATATATTTTCATACGTTACATAGTATGTATAAAATTATCAAAAGATTTAGAAATATTTTAACCTTGGTTCTGACTAATTTACCTGTCAATGCTTGGATATCTTATTATGAGAGTTGACGTATAATAGTTCTCTAATCATAGAAATAGCGCAGTCCCATCCCATCGATATCCAAGTCATAGCAACACTATTGATAAAAAAAAGTGATTTTGACAAGTATCTAGAAAACTTCTTGCTTTGAGGAAATTGACTCGCAACTTTTTGTTGTGCCTCGACAAATCTACTTGCTCCTCAAGCTTGGCATTCGTCCTGATGAAATTACAAATTCTACTTAGAAAAAAGAGTGTTTGATAATACAATAGTCCAAGAAAAAAATAAACAACAAATAATATGAAAGAAAAAATTATGCAAAATTAGGGTGTCTTACAAACAGTTTTCCAAAATTTTCAAGGATGCCAGTGAACCGCAAGCATAATTTATACCAGTTTGAGGAATTCTCTTATCTCCCTTAGACAAGCTTAGCACAGGAGGAGGGAATGGCAAGCCAACAATTTGAGCTGCATAATTATATTAATAAAAAATAAAGTAATCAATAATTTTTACACGAGAGTAAAAATTGAGGACAACACAAAAATCAATAACTTGTAATTCATTAATTTTTTATTTTCATACCAATGAAATCCGCTACTGTTCTTCCGTTGGTGTAACGACCCGTAGGTTTTCCACCAAAATCTATTCCATATGGAGTATAATTTCTTTCAATTTGCGGGACATGAACATAATTATTATTTCCCGCATCAACATAAGAGTCTCCAAATACGTATAAAGCTGGCACATCAAAGTTGATGTTCTCTAAGGATAAATATTTCAAAATAGATTTTTTACTTATTATAAATGGAGGTACTGTAACAACATCTGCAGAACCCAGTGAGAAGAATTGATATTGAAGCAAGAGGAAGAAAATGAAAATGCAATTGACTATTTTAATGATCTTTTCTTGACTAGGAAAAACAAAAGTTGGTATTGTACTATTGATTATTTATGTACTTTAAATTAGTATTTATACTGAGCATTTGCCTTTTCGGTTTACAATGTTCAATGTCGACATTCCAAAATTAATAACTTTACGTTACTTGCTTTTAACAAGCTTTAAATGTTATGAGGTTCGTTTTGAACAAATAATCATGATAATTACTCTTTTTTGCAAATATATCAAGCCTTCCATTTCATAATATTTTATTATTAAAATATGAAAAATAATTATACAACAATATTTTTAATATTTCAAAATTAAAATTAATAAAAAGATGAGAACAGAACAAAGAAATACCTTTCGTGCTATTGCTCGTTCTTACTATATATGCTGTGTTAGTTGGGGGCTTGCAGATGTTTCGAATTGCTGAAACAGGCAAACAACTTATTTTGCTCCATAAAATTATGGGGTACATTAACTCATTTCAGCCACCATAAATCTTAAGGTACATATAATTAATGAATCGTTAAAATTAAAACCAAGGATTCGATTCGATCCCTTCCAGATTTATAAGCACTTGCCTGAACTCGCTGAAATTTCAAATTGACTATGTAATTTCTTTGTTACGTAATGGCTATAACTTTAAAGCCTAGCAAGAGGAATGGTTAAAAATGCACACTTCCTTCTTTATACAAAAAGTCAGGATAAAAGATTAGCCCTTTTTTTTTTATTAGCAATAAAAACAAAAGTTGTTCTGACTACTTACAAGCAATGAGAAAGAGAAGTAAACTTTTAAATTCAACTTAAAATCAATTGACAAAGAGAAGCTAATTGATTTTAAGTTAATGTTTAATAGAAACGCTGACAGATATTCATTGGCAAATAAGAAAAAGGGACTTAAGCATACACCATCAGGGAGATACGGCAATGGAAGGTAGAGAATCTATATCGAAATAGGCACTATAAATCTGGCATTCTAAAATACAGTAAGATGATAAGAAACGAACAAGATACAAAATAAAAACATTAAAAATGATATGTAATTTTCATGTAAAATATTATATGAATTTTAATATTTTACACAACACGAATATATGAATAGCAAAGTATACTCAAAATGAATCAAAAAGGAAAAAACCCATTATTAAAATACTAAAATGCACTTAACCAAGGCATAAAACACAGGAGAGTGCAGCGGTGAGGAGAGGAACTGAGAGAAAAAAAAAAAAAAGGAAAGTGGGAGTGGGTGTAGCGATGGCTGTGGCTATGGAAGGATGACAATTTCTTTTGTTTTAGGGTGCTTTGGGGCTGTTAAGAGATCATGTAGCAAAGTTGAGAAAAGCGAAGAAAATTAGGGTTTGGGTGAAAAAGAAGACAAGCTTATGTGGCAAATTGTTTAAAATAACTTACATGGCTGCTTACGTGACCAATTTGGTACGTATTAAAATTTAGTAATCAATTTTGGATTTTGGTGATAGAAGGTGACTAGAGGTGAAATTTACTCTCAATTTTAAAAGCAAAATTTGTCGTAGTTCTCAGGTTTTTGGAGAGTGGAATCTAATAAGCTTTAGCCTTTAGGTGTCAAAACTTTGTATAATCGTCATCTTATTTTTATAGTAAAATTTTTCATCATCTTTATCCGTGGACATAGGTTTAAAGCCAAACCACAAATTATTGTTTGTTATTTTCACAAATTATTTTTTTGTTGCGAGTTCAAATTCTTTTATGGTGAATTTGCTTGCTGTCATTTTGACTTGCTTGGATTAGTTACAACAAACTGATAGCAGAGCTTGGTTCAAAGAAGCCAAGGAATCTTGTACCAACTTGATTCATGGTAGAGTAGCAAATCAATATTACACAACTATAAAAGCTTGTATATGCCATAATGTATAAATTTGTAAACTCACTAGATATAATAAGAGAAGTGGTTACTAATATTTTTTATCTAGGTGCGATTGATCAGTTAATTGAATTCGTCCATTTTAAAGCGAAGTCTCAAGTTTGAGTTAGGTATCTTTAAAAGATAGGTTTCTAATCCACAAAACAGATTTAGGTCAAGGATATGGTTACGTTCGAGGAAGGATTTGTAAGTATCCTTACAACTCTCATCCAAATGATGATACAATTTGATTTCATATTATCCAAGCCTTAAATGTGTTTTGTAATCTAACAAATAAATTTAATACTTGAAAATTGATCTTAAAGTTACTCCAATTATTTGGTAATAATTTAAAATAATTTTTTTACCTCGGAAATATTTGTGGAGACTCGTATCTCACTCTAAAAGGACTCCGTCATCGAATTCATTAATATGTTTTTTCAAGAAATTAATATTTGAAAACAATTAATAAAATCCTCTAATCATTTGGTAAGATTTTATTTTAATGCACATTTCCCAATAGTTGGGTAGATTTTTATTTTAAAAACTTTTCCATGAAATTTTTTATAAAATCATAAATCTTCCAATGTTTTGATAAGATTTAATTCCATATTTAAATTCTCCATTCGTTTAGTAGGATTAAAATTTTTCTTTTCTCAAAAATTCATATGAAATTCTCCAATCATTTGGTTTAATTCACAATTCAAGATTTAATTCCTCCAATCATTTGATAGAATTAAAAAATAATTTAATTTTCACAAAAATTTATTTGAAATTCTCCAATAATTTGGTAGAATCCATAATTTAAAATTAAAATTCTCCAATCATTTAGTAGGAAAAAAAACTATTTTTTAAAATTCATTATGAAATTTTCCAATCATTCAGTATGAATTGACTGAAAGTGTGAGGTAAGTAGATGGTAGGATAGGTTGATAGGGGTAAGGTGCTACATTTTTCACAAATGGATAATGAATTGGATACATTGGTGGTGGGTATTGGGACAAACATCTGAATTGTTGATTATCATAGCTCACAGCTTGAGTTTCATTCTCCTTCTTCTTCAATATTTCATTTTTTTTCATGTTGGTTATCTCTCATCCACCTAGCTTGCCCATTCTGATGGCATTTTCAATTATCTCACCAAAGTTTACCATGTTAGCAAAGTTCTTGGTAGCATTTCCTATCATTTTCTTATAGTAAGGAGCCCTTAAGGGTACTCACCACCAAAAGGCGGTATTTTTTTCATCAATAAACAGGTGGTGGACCTGAGCAGTCATATCTCCTCCACCTTTAGCGCATATTTTTTGAAAGATTTTGTTGCCTTATTCTCCATCTTTGCACAAAAGAGGAGGTTTGGAGCCAAGTCTATGATGTGCTAAGTATATAGGTTAATAAATGCCCTTGTCAATTCCTTTCAGTGAAGTAATGCGAGCTTTGTCCAATTAAATGGCACCATCTTAGTAGCAAAACTAGTAGGTTGTCTTGGAAATATAGGTATTAAAATCTTCCTCGTCACTTGTTTAAGTGACCATCTTTTGACAGTACATAGTTATATGAGTCGGTGGACAGTTAGTACCATAATATTTTTTGAACTCCAAGACTTTGAACTTTGGTGGGATAGGTACATTAGGTACTAAATAAAGACCGGCTGCATCCGTAGAGTCATAAAGTTCAATTCCTTCCATGGCTCGTATCCTCTTTTCAAGTGGATTCATCTTTTGTTCAAAATTTGAGTCCTCTAAAGACTTGACAAACTTCAGCTTCAACTTTTCCCCTTCCTTTTGGATCGTCCAAATTAGGGATTAGAACTAGCTCCACTATCTTTTTTATGAAAACATGGTTATCATAACTTTGAAAATGCTTATGGATGTAGATGGCATTCTTAGGTAAGTATACCTTATAGGGAATATGAATTGTTGTGGTGGATGCCTTGAATGGGCTGGGCTTGATATAGGCCATAGTCAGGAGGATATACAGGATTGATTACATCCTATGATGATGGTCTTCTTGGCTAGCATCTTCTTCCATAGCTTTCCCTCTATTCAACTTGTTTAGGGTTTCTAAAATTTTACTTAACTCCTTTTTCGAGTTTTTCTTAGGCCCTCTTTATTTTTTTTCAAAATGATTTATTTTTTCATGTTTCATTTGTCTAGCATGAGCTCTAATGTAAAATTGATGGTGAGTTTTTTTAGTGGGGTTCTTAGATGGTCAAGCTATCCTTAAATTTTTGCATCGTAATTTATGATTAGAATGATGTCTAACTACAAATTTATGCAAAAAAAAAAGAGAAATTATAAATGTATGAATAGATACATGCTCTGAATGCTATCACATAATAAGAAAGAAAGAAAAAAAATCATTAATTAAAAATTAAAAATTATTCTGACAATAATATAAAAAAATTTTTTAAAAAATCCTAAAATCTATTGCCTAGTTTTATACTTCAACTTTAAGTTCCTGGTGCTGCTGTGGATAAGTTCTTCAGCCATTATGATTGGGCAATGACTTCTTAACAATCTTAGGCTCTCCTTCATCCTCAAAACTCAATAAGCTAATTTTGATCAAACTTTGCACTTTATGTTTCAAGGTAAGGCAATTTTCTATCAAATGGCTTATATTCCTAAAATGATAATCATACCAAGTATTAGCATCATACCACTTAAGATAAGGAGGTTTTAGTGGCTCTAATGAACTAGTGTGATCATATAGTTTTAGAGAAGTAGTGGGAATAACTCATTTTAAGTCATAGAGATTAGATCAATGATGGCTCTTTCTTTCTTTTTACTCAATGATTTTTTTGGGTAAGCTGTGGTTAGACTTACAAGTGCAGGTCTTGGAGTAGAATTAGGTGTATATGCTTAAGGGTTCATTGGAAAACTTGATTGTTGGATTGGCTGATAAGCATTATTCATAATTGGGACATAGTATGGGTTTGGGCCAATCTGTGAAGGTTGAACGGAAGCAAGTCTTGTTTGAGGTGCCAACAATGGTTGTTGAGGTTAGGGATAAAGATTTGAGTATGAGCCAATCTGGAGGGTCAACACAAAGTTAGAAAGCCCTATATCTTTTCAACTTGGTCTTTTTTTGGGCCATCAGATGCATTAGCATGACTTGCACCAACATCAGTATTGTGAGAGGCTTTTTGATCTTGGCAACGTGGTTTTTTAATGTACACACGAATTGGAGTTGGTGACAACTCTTAAGAACGGGCCACTTTAAGATTTTTAACCCTTTCCACTAGCTTGGCAAGTTGTATTTTCACTTCTCGTAGGTCATGCCCAAATTTTCTTGGTTGAGTTTCGAATGCCTAAATCCATATTTCTAATTAATCATCCATGTCTTCTAAATTGTTGCCCTAAATAAAGCAAAAGATTTCTATGATATGATGAGTGTATTACATGGATAATGATGACCTATGAATGAGTAAGATTCATGAAATGAATGAAAATAAATAAATTAACAAACAAACAAATAAATAAATAATAAATATGAACTAGTGATGTTAACATGATTCATGCAAAAAGGAAGTAACAAATAAGAATAAAGTTAACATCCAATATAAAGAACAAAAAAGACAAAACAAGTTAGTACACAAC